TAATATTTCACAATATTACCGTTTCTGTATTTTCAATATTCAATTAAATTCAATGTATCTTTGGTGAGCAAGAGAGAATTCTTTCAAAAACAATTTAAAAATCCTACTAAACCCAAACGCTAGTGTATATTTATGTTTGACATAATTTTGTATTCATAATGTTTAAATATAGAATGATTTAAATTATAAACCAAACACACTGAAATGGTTTACTGATACTATATCTAGAGCAAAAATATTGAGGTGTGAATGTTGTCATAGAAACAATTTCCAATAGCACATGAACAGCTCTGAGCAGAATCTCTACAGTAAGTTGTTTCCTCCTAATTACGGTAATTCACACATAATGTAAATTAAATTAAAAACAAGATCCACCATACCAGCCGTTCAGTGTCCATACACAATCCAACCACAGCACCACCACTGCCAGGCAATTTGACTGCAGATCCAAACTACACAGACAACAAAGACTTATTCAGATGTGCTGCTTGTTTTCTGGAGGTCACATTACTTCTAATGCCATTAGTAGTGAATTTGTGAAAAACTCAAGGTAAAAGTTATAAGATCTTTAGGAAATGATGCATTGATGCATTCATTTACCTGTCTCGCAAGCTGTACCATTTTCAGACTTCCAGGGCCCAAACAGTCGTCAGTATACACCGACCTGATAGACGAATTGCACTTCAACACTAGCATTTTTTTAGCAATTTATAAATTAAATAGCATTAAAAACATGCAGTCAAACTTCTATTCAGCTTTGTTTGAGAGTTTGATGGCTTGGAATAAAGCATCATACCGGCGTAGCTCAAAGTTTTCATCCATGAGCTGTGCAAGTCTGGGCCAGTCTTTACACTGAAAGGCAGCCCTGTATACGGTAAGAAAATCAACTTTTTCATTGGCCGATTGTTTTCCTGAATGAACAGTAAAGCTACAAGAGCTATTACAGCATGAAAAGTGAAACACTACAATAATTGAAGGACAAATACTCAAAGATAAACCAACCGGGCTTGGTCTGTGAGCTCAGCAAATGATTTCATAGCTTCAACAACAGCAGATTCACCTGATCAGAAAGAGGACAACTTATGAAAGACTTTATTTATTTACAATTAACACATAAACCAGGACATAAAGCAGGACTTACCGTTCAACCAGCGCTGTCTAACATTACTGTGAATTCGTCCAGAATCACTTGGATTGCCTAAATAGGCTAGCCAGAACCAGGGAAGGTCGCTCATGTCTAAGGGAATGTACTCTCCTACAGAAATTAATATTGACATATAGTAAAGCCTCTTAAAATTCAAGTTTCTATTGCTGTACAAATACAGTACTGTTTTCAGCATTGATCATATTATGAAATGTTTCTTGAGCAATAGATCAGCATATTAGAATGATTTCTGAAGGATCATGTGACAC